ATAAAGAGATCTTTTTCTGTGTATATTATGTCTCATGAAACAGAGAGAAAGGCTTGATGTTGTTAATAGTGGATAATGACAGGAGAGACTTAGTCTTAAAGTTTGCAACTTGTTAAAAAAATCCAACAGAAAGTTTCATTTTTTAATTATTTTAAGCTTAGGAATATAGAAAATTAATAGTGTATTTTGGATTGAACTGTAATTTAAAATTCATGTGGCATAACAGGTAATACAAATAGGATCAATGAATTAATTACATTAAAAGCAATAGCTAAGACGTTATGAAGATCAGATGATGAACTGTTGACCTAGCACATACCAGTGTTAAAAAGTCAAGAACACATAAGTCCATTTGGGATTTAAGCAGAATATTTTAATAGAGTTATAGAGAAAAGCATCTTAAGCTTGCTTTGCAGATTTTAATTGTATAAATAATTAGATCTTTATGTTTAAAATATGAACATTCATTGTAACTATTTCACTTTCAGGATGACATACCAAGGGTTGAGCATTATTATTATATAATTGCTGTAATTGTAGCAATAATTAATGCAGAATAAAACTGTGTATCTCCACAGGTGAGTCACTGGAGTTGGCACCACTTCATTGCTGGAAAAAAGGTGGTGAGGCAGACTTTACATCCTGTCAGATGGAACCTCCATCATCAAACAAACAAATTGTATGAGGGTGAGTGACAATCCAAAAACATGTCTTAAAACATTTTATAATCAAAAGATGTAAGTATATAACACACTCTAAAGCTCAGAAAAGGGTTTACAGCTGCATTACATTTTTCTCAATATGGGTACTTTTTGAAAGCCTTGCTTCATATTTTTGAATATTTTTTGATTGAATAGTAATGCATTACTGCTTACAGTGCCCATAGGCATTTTTTTTAAATAAAGATCATTTAATATATATTTAATAAAATCTACTCTTATAAATCTTATCTAATATATAGAAGGAGTAGCAAAAACAAGATTCTCAATAGATGCTATTTTGGGTTCTACATCAAAAAAGTTACAAGTCTCTTTTTGAAAACATGCATTTTCTGAAAAGAGTGGTAGAATGTGACTTAAGATAAATGTATGCTGTTAGACTCAGGTAACCATAAAAAACATCTCCCTCCTACAATTAAAGAATGCATGGTTGACAGAACATGTTAATGTGCCTCTTAGATAGTCTACGTCTGCACATAATATTAACTATATTACACTATTTGCTTTTGATATATTTTTTTTGTATTCTTTATGTCTATTACAATATATATGAATATGATCATCTAATGAAAATGACTGCTACCAAATCATTGGTAGGAATTGTACCACGCATATAGATGAACTGAACTAGTGACATTCAGGTTTATGTGAATGTACATTTATTCTACCTGTTATATCAAATATTGTTAATATTACACATCAAAATTGTCTGTGTACTTTTGTTTTTAGTGTGATCTCAAACTAGATTTTAACTACTACTCCCGTTAAGTGAAGCTTAATTAAAGGAATCTTTCATGAGGAGTATACTACTAAAACACTAATATCTGAGAACTCATTGAATAATAAGTGAGTAAATATGCAGAAATTAAGATTTTACAATAACTCAATACATAAGCTAATTTCTAGAAGATACATTAGCACAAAATAGAACAATATGAAAATACAAAGTGCACAAAATATTACAATGTGCCTAAATATGTATTTGTTTGTGCACTTCAACTATTAAAGTGAATAAAATTGCCACCTTTGCATTGAGTGCTCCTAAAAATAACTGAATTTTCAAATCTTGATTGCATACACTAAAATTGGCAAAGAGGTAAATATAGTATAGTGTTGTATTTCAATATTATTAGAATATAAAACTAATTCATATGAAACATACTCACAAATGTGAAGCACATAGTAAGGTGTACAAATGCCCTTTGTCAAAATAGTCTTGTGATGCTTTGCCAGTAATTTAGCTCCAAGATCATCATAGGAGATATAGTCCACAACATCTGGAGTGACAGGTTGCCTACCTATGATCTAATGGCTATCCCCTAGTTATAAATCAATCATTCCCCCCATCAATCATATATTGTTTTTAGCACCACAGGCAGAACTCTGAAATCTGGACTTTGATTGACCCGACTGAAATAGTATCATTTGATCAGAAGTGTTCGATATCTGATTTAAACTCACTGTATTTTTTAATCTAAACCCTGTATAAAGTATAGAATTTGTGTAACTGAATACATTCAGCAGAATGTTCATTCACAATCTATTGTTCACTTGTAGTGATGTCCTGAACGGTTCGCTGAACGGTTCGCCGAGGACGGCGAACATATGTGGTAAACTTTGACCCTGTACCTCACAGTCAGCAGACACATTCCAGCCAATCAGCAGCAGACCCTCCCTCCCAGACCCTCCAACCTCCTGGACAGCTCACTAAGAATGCAGCTTCACAATGAATGTAAAATGGATGCTGTCCAGGAGGTGGGAGGGTCTGCTGCTGATTGGCTGGAATGTGTCTGCTGACTGTGAGGTACTGGGTCAAGGTTTACCGCATATGTTCGCTGTCCGTGGCGAACCGTTCGGGACATCACTATTCACTTGCTTTTTGCACGTGAATGATAAGTTGAAGTACTATTTGCTCACTGTCAACATTAGAATCTAGCAGGAAAATAGTTTAAAACCCTGAGCAACATGAGTGCCACCACATTAAAAAAAGCAACAAAAACACTTGTGTGGGTCAATATGACCAGTGCCGGTGCAAGGATTTTTGGCTACAAAGGCAAATATGCATTCACCTGTGTGCCTTGTAACCCTTTTTTGAATTTCTTACCCCCTTTAGTGTTATATGTTCCCTCTTGAATGTGTTATCCCTGTGTGTGTTACACCCCCTTTAGTGTATTATATCCCCCTTTAGTGTCTTACACCCCCTATGTCTTTTACTTGCCCACCAGCCCCTTTCTGTGTCACTGTGCTTTAGTGGAGGATAGGGGCAGAATTGTGTGGGATAGGGACTTTATTATTATAATATATATAGCGCCAATAAATCTAGCGCTGTACAAAAAGGTTTTAGTACTGTGTGTGTGTGTGTGGGACTAAGGCTTTAGTCAAGGGGAGATGAGTAGTATTGGGGAATAGAGGCAGTATTGTGGGGGGGATAGGGACTTTAGCGAGGGGGAATAGGAGCAGTATTGTGGGGGATTGGGGCCTTATTGTGATGGTTCAGGGGGCCATATTGTCGCAGATTGATTCTTTAGTATGGGGACAGGGCCCATATTATAGGGGATTGATTCTTTAGTGTGGGGGGGAAAGGGGGCAGTATTATAGGGGATTGGGGCTTTAGTGGGGGGGGAGATAGGAACAGTATTGTGGGATCTGGAGCTATGGTGGGAGGATTGGAACAGTGTTATGGGGTTTGGAGATTTAGTGGGGGTGCAGTATTGTCGGGGACTGGGGCTATATTGGTGGTTAGGAACAGTATGGGAGCAGGAGTGGTATTGTGGGAGATATAGCAAATTTGTGGGGGACTGGAGCTGTGGTGGGGAGATTAGGAACAGTTTTGAGGGACAGAGCAGCATTATGGAGGACTGGGGTTTTTGTGGGGGGAAGGGACAGTATTGTGGGCGATGGGGCTATGGAGGGAGCAGCATTGTGGGGTACTGGGGGGTAGGGCAGCATTATGGGGGTAATGGAACAGGGGCAGTATTGTAAGACAGACACAGACATATCCACACACCCACACACTTCATAGACCTCGAGTGGATCCACAGCCTGGTGTCCAGTGGGCTGCCGCAGTGCTCCTCTGAGTGAGCTCTGATCCAGATCCACATTTCCTGTATAGCTCTCTCGAGTGCCCTGTAGAGATCCTGGGAGCTGGAATTTGATGTCATATTCCAGCTCCCAGGACCTCTACAGGGCGGGCGAGGAAGCTATACAGAAAATGCAGATCTGAATCAGAGCACACGCGCACGCTCTCTCCTCCTGCGCGTCACCGCAGTGACTGGACAATTTCCTCCCAAATTCTGGCCAAATTCCACACACTCCAGTAAAAAGATCCTGCCTATCCTGCCAACTTGTTTGTACCTAACCATACTAACTCCCCCCCCAATAATTCCTGATAATTTTATGACTATTAAAAAACAAAATCATCATTAAGCTGATGAAGAAATAAAACATGCAGCAGTAAGCCCCACGAGGACTCCACACAGACTGAGATTTCAAGGCAGGAATATAATTTATAAAGGCTTTTTTACTCTTTGAAAACACAGTAGAGTGCTCTGATTGGTTGTCTTATAAGTCAACCAATCAGGTTGCTTACAGGCAAGTTTCACATCTTACCATTGGAATATTCTCTGGTATAGCTTGAGAAAAGTGAGATTAGCCTGTCAGAGCACTCTGAATTGTTGGCTTGCAATACAATCAATAAAAGCACTCTCCTGAGATTTCAAAGCATTGGAAAGCCTTAATTACCAGGCATTGCCTATCAGAACTGATTAGCAGCTTTTGGTGCAGCTTAAATCTTTACTGACTTCAGACTCATAACCTGCTCTACAAAATCTGAACTTGTCTAGCTTTTGCAGTCAGAACCACCTGTACAGCACCGAATGATGCTTCTTTATTTGGTACTGAGCTATTCAGACTTTAGTGAATTATCATGATATGACATTTCTGATAGAGGAATAGTATAACAAAAATAATACTGCCATTTGCTCTCTTCTATTGACTCATCACTAGTGATGCACCGAACGGTTCGCCAGCGAACAGTTCCTGGCGAACATAGCGTGTTCGTGTCCGCCGCGGATGGCGAACACATGCGGGGTTCGATCCGCCCCCTATTTGTCATCATTGAGTAAACTTTGACCCTGTACCTCACAGACAGCAGACACATTCCAGCCAATTAGCAGCACACCCTCCCAAGCAGACCCTCCCACCTACTGGACAGCATCCTGTAACGGATCACCTGGCACCCCGACTGGGTACCTCCGTTAAAGGATGCTCCTAGCGCTTCCCGAGGACTCCAAGCACTGCAGCAGACACCACAACCACCGAACCGGAGAAGCATATGAATCCTCTCAAGCATATGAATGCTGTAGACAGTTGAATATGAACCATACGAATAGGTTTACTCTCCTAGCAGTCAAACTGGAACAGCATACAATAAATCCTTCCCCCAATAATGAGACGACACTTCACTTTGAGGGTTAAGCAGGAACTCCCTGTACTGTCACATACAGTCTCTTTTATTCCCAATCCACAAACATAGTACAGCCCACAGGGCGTTACAAAACAGCCAATCAATCCATACAATACACCCAGACACTCCCACACAAAATCCTCCCATCTGCCTGTGATATGATTACTGAACACAATGGGTAATCTCATTATCACCGGCAGAGGAATACAGTTTTTACACAATATTTATAACTTCTAAAATATACATGTCACCAACATAAAACATACATTTTCATAATCAATCCATTCAGGGGAACAACATATTAAAATATGGCACGAATCAGACCAGGGGTTCAAAAGTTAAGGGAAAGTCCTTTGTGACTAAATGAAGCCAGTTTCAGAGTCTTCTATCCTGGAGATAATTGAGAGTAATTCAATTATCTCCCAGGACAGACACAAAACTCCATTAGCCACATGGCAGACAAAGGACAATAAAAGACATAAAAATTAAATAAAATATACAAGGTTACATTTATTACATAAAATACAGACATTCTACCTATCCCCAGATAGCTTAGATCTGAGCGCAAATTATTACCGGATGGCGCTCAGATCACATACATACAGTTCAATCGCCATGGAGCCAAAGTCTTTCATACAGTCTTTCAGTATACTGCTGGGCTCCATGGCATAGCTATCTGGGGTAGCATGGCTTTAACAGTCCACAGAAAGGCACAAACCAGCCTTTCTGCAGGTAAAAAGAACAGGGGCCATAGTCTAAAGGCAAGAGGCGGGCAAGCAGCCCCCTCCAAGGACACATGGCGAGGTTGGTTTGGCCACACATCCATTTTAGATTCATTCTCAAGCTGCATGCTTAGTGAGAGGAGGGAAAGTGTAGCTGCTGTTGATTAGATAGGGAAATGCATAGCTAGGTTAGGGTATACAGTGTCCACTACAGTCCTGAAGGACTCATCTGATCTCTGCTGTAAGGACAGCACCCCACCCCTTTTTAGGGCTAGGGAGCATCACAATGTAATTGTAGTTGCCTGCCTCTGTCACAGCTCACAGTGGATATGCCCAGTGCCACCACTCACTCACTGGTGTCACAATAGCTTGCATTTAAAAACAAAAAACTTTTTTCACTGTTACAGATTGAATAGCAGTTAGTTGTCTGCCACTGCTAGCTTCTGTGTCAGGCTCACAGTGGATACTGTGCCCATTTGCCCAGTCAGTGCCACCACTCATATCTGGTGTCACAATAGCTTGCATTTAAAAACAAAAAACTTTTTTCACTGTTATAGATTGAATAGCAGTCAGTGTCCTTAAAGCGGGTGTGTCAGGCTCACAGTGGATACTGTGCCCATTTGCCCAGTGCCACGACTCATATCTGGTGTCACAATAGCTTAAGCTTGACATTTAAAAAGAAAAAAAAAATTTCACTGTAATAGATTGAATAGCAGTTAGTTGTCTGCAAGCGTCTGGGTGTCAGGCCTCCTTCAGCGTGTGCTCTGCAGACGTCTGCCTGTGTACTTTGCCACTCATATCTGGTGTCTCTATAGCGTGCTTTTACAAAGAAAAAAAGTTTTTCAGTGTAAGCTAATAGCAGTCAGTGTCCTTAAAGCGGGTGTCAGGCCTCCTTCAGCGTGTGCTCTGCAGACCTCTGCCCGTGTACTTTGCCACTCATATCTGGTGTCACAATAGCGTGCATTTAAAACCCAAAATCTTTTTTAACTGTTATAGATTGAATAGCAGTTAGTTGTCTCAAAGCGGGTGTGTCAGCCCTAGAGCGTGTACTCTGCCAGTTTACAGTGCCACTCATATCTGGTGTCACAATAGCGTGCATTTAAAAACCAAAAATCTTTTTTCACTGTTATAGAGTGAATAGCAGTTAGTTGTCTGCCAGCGGGTGTGTCAGGCTCACAGTGGATACTGTGCCCAGTGCCACCACTCACTCACTGGTACCCGGACGAAATTTCTTTTCACAAAAGGCAATCCCCAACCTGTACTCGATTGTGCAAAAGGAAATAATGGCATGTCTGGCACACAGTGTTGGGGCAAGGGTCCATCTGACCACTGATACCTGGTCTGCAAAGCATGGTCAGGGCAGGTATATCACCTACACTGCGCATTGGGCAAACCTGCTGACGGCTGCCAAGCATGGAATGCGTGGCTCTGCAGAGGAGTTGGTGACACCGCCATGACTTGCAGGCAGGCCTGCTGCCACCTCCTCTACTCCTCCTACTCCATCCTCTTCCATAACCTCCTCGGCTGAGTCCTCTTCTGCTGCTGCGTCTTGCTCCACATCAACGGATAGGGGACGTAACAGGGATTAAACTGATAAGAATAGTACTACTTAACACACCACTCCTATCTGGTGGCACATTAGATTGCACGCGCAGTGCCCCAAATTTGTTGTGATCTGTGAGTAAGGTAAACGGTTGTCCATACAAGTAAGGTTGCAGCTTTTTGAGGGCCCACACCACCACCAGGCACTCCTTTTCAATGGCAGTGTATCTACTTCCCTGGGCAAAAGTTTCCGGCTTAGATAAGCCCCGGGTTGCTCGCCGCAATCTGCTCCGACTTGGCTCAGTACTGCTCCCAATCCAAACATAGAAGTGTCTGTATGGACGAGAAAGCGTTTAGTTGGATCAGGAGCAGAAAGTACAGGTGATTTAATGAGCGCCGTCTTGAGGTGTTGGAAGGCCTGTTCACACTCTTGGGCCCATACTTGGGGAGGTTTTTACGCGTTCCTATATGGCACTTACTGGGCTTTAGGGTCAGTCCGGCCTCCCTAATCCGGTCTAGTACGGCTCCTATGTGGGTCAGGTGTTAGGGCCAGGAGCAGCTAAAAATGGCTATATCATCCAAGTAGGCGCAGGCATACTCCTGAAACCCATCCAGTAGCCGATCTACCATCCTCTGAAAGTTAGCCGGGGAATTCTTCATCCCGAATGGCATGGCCTTAAACTGATACAGGCCAAACGAGGTGACAAATGACGACTTGTGGATGGCGTCCTCGGCTAATAGAATTTGCCAGTACCCCTTGCACAGATCTATTGTGGTGAGATACTGGCCTCTGGCCATTTTGTCTAGGAGCTCATCTATCCGGGGCATAGACGAGGCGTCTGAGGTTGTTTTATCGTTTAGCCTCCGGTAGTCTACACAGAAACGGGTCGTGCCGTCCCGTTTCGGTACTAGTACTACCGGGGAGGCCCAGGGGATGTCAGAGTGTTCTATCACCCCTAACTGCATCACTTCCTCAATTTCTTTCTGAATATTTTCTTTAACTGCTTCGGGTATGCGATAGGCGGTTTGGCGAAGGGGGGTCTGGTCTAGGGTTTCAACTTTGTAAGTGGTTAACGGACTGTACCCAGGTAGGTTGGAAAACATGGCCCCCTTGTCCTGGATTAGTCTTTGGACCTGAGTTCGCTCCTGGGGGTCTAACTGTTCTCCTAACTGTACTTCTCCCAGGTCTCCGCTCTGGCCCTCTAGGTCTAGGAGATCTGGGAGTGGCAAATTATCATAATCTTCAGTGGCAGGTGCACAGATCACGGTTACCTCTTCCGTGCGCTCGTGGTATGGCTTGAGCATGTTCACATGGAGCATGCGCTTGCCTCCCGTGCCTGTGACCGCACCGATCACAAAGGTGGTATCACAAACCTGCTCTACCACCTTGTATGGGCCCTGCCAGGAAGCCTGCAGCTTGTCCTTGTGGACAGTGTCAATCCATATCTGCCAAGTGACCCTATGTAGGGGGAACAGTCTCTATTCTGCTCTGTGTCAGTGTGTATCAGGGATCTCTGAGGACAGGTGTCAATCCATATCTGCCAAGTGACCCTATGTAGGGGGAACAGTCTCTATTCTGCTCTGTGTCAGTGTGTATCATGGTCTCTGAGGACAGGTGTCAATCCATATCTGCCAAGTGACCCTATGTAGGGGGAACAGTCTCTATTCTGCTCTCTGTCAGTGTGTATCGTGGTCTCTGAGGACAGGTGTCAATCCATATCTGCCAAGTGACCCTATGTAGGGGGAACAGTCCCTATTCTGCTCTGTGTCAGTGTGTATCAGGGATCCTTAGGATAGGTGTCAATCCATATCTGCCAAGTGACCCTATGTAGGGGGAACAGTCTCTATTCTGCTCTGTGTCAGTGTGTATCATGGTCTCTGAGGACAGGTGTCAATTCATATCTGCCAAGTGACCCTATGTAGGAGGAACAGTCTCTATTCTGCTCTGTGTCAGTGTGTATCAGGGATCCTTAGGACAGGTGTCAATCCATATCTGCCAAGTGACCCTATGTAGGGGGAACAGTCTCTATTCTGCTCTTTGTCAGTGTGTATCAGGTATCCTTAGGATAGGTGTCAATCCATATCTGCCAAGTGACCCTATGTAGGGGGAACAGTCCCTATTTTGCTCTGTGTCCGTGTGCATCAGGGGCTCTGAGGACAGGTGTCAATCCATATGTCAAGGTGTCAATATGTCATATGTCAGGTGTCAATCCATATTGATTGTGATTTAGGAATGTTAGGTGATTTCTGCCCTTTATGGATTAAAACCAGACTCAACTGTAATTTTCCATGGGAGTTTTGCCATGGATCCCCCTCCGGCATGCCACAGTCCAGGTGTTACTCCCCTTGAAACAACGTTTCCATCACTATTGTGGCCAGAAAGAGTCCCTGTGTGTTTTAAAATTTGCCTGCCCATTGAAGTCTATGGCGGTTCGCTCGGTTCGCCGGTTCGCAAATATTTGCGGAAGTTCGCGTTCGCCGTTCGCGAACCGAAAATTTCGTGTTCACGACATCACTACTCATCACATTAATCACTTTCACTGTACTGTATATGGTTACCTTATCATCATTTTCATACACACTCATCAGCCACAACATTAAAATCACTGACAGGTGAAGTCAATAACAATGAATAACAATAAAAAGTCGGTTCTTGAATTTCATGTGTTGGAAGCATGAAAAATGGGCAAGCAAAAAGATCTGCATGGCTTTGAAATGGTTAAAGAGTGATGGCTACTTGTCTGGATCAGAGCATTT